CGAGGTGTGTTCCGAAAATAACGGGACTTGTTAAATTACGCGGCTTCGGAGGGTCCGGTTTTCAAAAAATTTTCTTTATTATGTTGGTATACAATGTATACTATACATGCCCCCGAAGTATGATAAAAACTTTAGCTGTTTTCATTGTTTACTTTGTCTGTGGCAGCCGCTAAGGTTAGACGTGTTTTATGAGCTCGGCGATTTTCGTTCGTTAAAAGAAATGGATCAAAGAGAATTTGTATCCAATTTTGCTTAAAAAATGAAATAAATTCTGTGAAATGTTAACAAAGGCCTATAGTGAGTCTGCTATAAGTAAAACAAGAGTTTACAAGTGGTATAAGAGTTTCCAAGATGGCCGTGAAGACGTTGAAGATGACGAACGCCCCGAACGCACAAGCACATTAACAACCGATAAAAACATGGAAAAAGTGGAAGAAATGGTTATAAACCATCAGATGATGTTGGTATATCGATTGGCTCATCACATGAAATTTTTTCGAATGTTTTGGGTATGAAACGCGTGGCAGCAAAATTTGTTTCAAAATTGTTAAATTTTTGGCCAAAAACAATACTGTAATGATGCCCCAGCCTCCATATTCGCCAGACATGCCTCTGTCTGACTTTTTCCTATTCCCAAAAATAAATTTAACCTTAAAGGGCCGTCGTTTTGCAAGCATAGATGACATTAAAAGCGCATCGCTGAAAGAACTAAAGGATATCCCAAAGATAGAGTTTTAGAAGTGTTTCGAGTATTGGAAGAAGAGCTGACACATGTGCATAATATCCAATGGGGACTATTTTAAAGGCGAAAACATTAATGTAGACGAATAAATAAATATTTATTTCAAAAAACGAAAATTCCTGATATTTTCTGAACACACCTCGTATATATAAAGTATAAATAAATATTATTTAAAATAATTTTGGTAACTATTATATTGTTTTCAGATAAATATAATAAAAATCGTATACATTTGAACAAATCATAAAAAATAACAATATCAATAATGACGGAAAATCCGTTACATTGTAATAACTCAATATATTTACCACTTATATCCTGAACCGACAACTTTATTTTATGTTTACGACAATCCAATACATCCATTATTGTTTCGTAATGTAAATAATTACACCCATGCCTTTATAATTTGTTAGATGATATCGACATTAATGTGAGGTTTAACGTTTATTTTCGTCGTAAAATACTTTGTAATTTGGGTTGTAAAATATAAAAATATAAAATCCAACACCGACTCAGTATGACTTACGTGAATGCACATGCAAAGCTCGTTAGATCCCGGCCTGAAATATTAAAATTTACCAAGAATAAAACTTAAAAAAAGAAAATTACTCATTTAAACGTAAATTATAGCGATTATGTAAAAAGCATGTTACATAATTTGTTAAAGGCCACTTATTTTCCAGCATGTGACATCATAACAATGGGTTCTATAATTATAGATTTAAGAATAATAATAGTATTTTACTATTTATTATTTAGGTTTTAAATTATTACAGAACTTTAGTAAGTCTTATATAATTGATTTTTCAATAATATAGGGTATTTCATATCTTTGATTTTAATACTTTTAAAGGTTTTCCAATTAATTAATTAGGCATTTTTTAAACTTTATTGTTATATACAAAAAGGGGAAACATAAAGTTATGTTTTAAAAATAACGTTATCAAATTTTCCCCTTGGCTACTTCTGCAGATGGTCATTCTCTTTGCAAAATTTTGGCAAAGCAGTGGCTCAATTTTAATAAAAACTTTATAGATGTTATTTAGCTTGTCAATCGCCTGTACATTATTTTCGTAAAAATTTTTATAACAAAACCAAAAAAGAAAAAAAATCTAACAAATTCATCGCACAATCTTGATGTATGGACGATCAAAGTAAGTCAAAGAAGAAGGGTAGATATTGCGTCTTCCCATTCTTCTTCAACTTTGTATTGCCATCTTTGTCTCTTTGTCTCGGACATTACCAACATTACCATTTTTTTCACTCCCACCTTTAAAACGCCATGTTTTCATTACACTACATACACATTCACAAGTTGAGGCTTTATGGCGTTTTAGTCACGGGCTAAAGTTAGCAACAGGTTTTTAGTCACGGGCTGAAGTTAGTTTTAAGTTAGTTGACAGGTGTCAAATGTCATACAATCGTTAAAATAAAGTGCCCTTCTTGTAAAAAAAAATACTAAATGTATAATTATTTTATTATTACAAGAATATATTCTTGTATTAAGATAATAAAATAATTTTTACATTTAGTATTTTTTTTAGTATACAAAAGTATTAAATAGTTTCTCCACCCCAATTCTTGAAAACTTTATATGAATATTTTACTGAACTTTAATTTCGATGGCAATAAACTGGATTTAACTTAATTTCGGGTGGCCATAAATTTTCTTTACTTTCACTATGAAAAACTAGTTCTAGATATATCGGATTTAAACGGTCCATTTTCAAGGGATACATTTCGATTTTGCACATAAAAAATTGACATTTTCCCGGCACGCCGGTAATACTGATTCCCAGAAATGGTTACTTTATTGTTTTATAGATCGCTGTATACAAAAAATTTAATTTAAATATTTTTTAGATAATAATAAGTTTTTGTCGTGGAAAAAGTATAGTATGCAACTCGTTTATAAACTTTTCTAGACATTCATTTAATTAAACACTCGCTCGAAAACTAAAATGGCGTTGATTAAACTCAATACATAATATACCATTGTTGGCAGTTAAAACCTTTTCACTTGTTATAAAATTATAGACAGTGTATTTAAGTATAAAGTTCTTATCTATAACAATGCTTATTGGTAAGCACTTTTTTAATCTTTTTGAAAGGGTCATAAATTATAAATATGCTCTAAATGTGTTTATATTATCATAATTAAAATTGCTTCAAAGGACTCCAATATCATTAAAACATACTTTAAAAGGGGCAATAAATCATAAAAAACAGTTAAGATTCCACAAATGAAAAAAATGTGCTTTGAAGGAGTAAAGTGTAATAAAAAAGTGTTTCCAAGGAATCTTAAATAATTTTTTAAGAGTGCCTGATAAGAACACAAAATTATAATATATGCTTTAACGGCTCCAAATCATTAAAAATATACTTTGAAAAAAGTGTACACAGAATTATAAAAAGTGCTTTAAAAGAAAATAGTATATAGTTTTATAGACGCCATTTTAGTAACGTGTTTTTTTTAGGCATGGGCGAAGCTTGCTAGCTATTGTTTAATAAAAACGAGTGTGTAGAGAAGTTTATAAAACGTTTAGTTTATTATAAAGTTTATTATCTACGACCATCACAAATAAGAATTTAAAGCCAATTTTAATTGTTACAAATTTGACATCTGTCAACTTTAAACGAATTTAACCTCACTTATCCCTAATTAATAATACAGCTAACACTAAAAAGTGTTTTGATGGATCAAGAAAAATGTTTTTTAAAGGGGCCAAAAATCATTATTAAATTAAATAGCTTTACAGTGAGCCATTAAATACTACTTTTTGACGTAACCAATTTTTTCAATGGGAAGTGGGTATGTTACAAATCACTGAAAAGGTCTTTGCAAGCTGAACATAATATATAGGTTTTTTAAGAAATAAGTAACATAAGATTTACATTTAAAACATTTTGTTACTCCATTTAAAAAGTTCTTTCAATTTAAGTATTTTACTCTTATAATTATAATCAGGGTTGCCACCTTTTGAAAATAAAAAGTAGCGGTAATTTAAAAAAAATATCGCCCAATTCGCCCAATTAAAAAAATGTACAATTTACCGTACGAGCAGCAATACTAAAACATTAACAAAAAATGTGGCTTTAAAAGTAATATAATAATATTATGTACCTACCTATACTGTTTAGGGAATAAAAGTTCTAAATTTATAAATATAAAAGATTTATTTGGTATCCTTTCTTAAAAACACAAAACTTACAAACAACCTTTTTTGTACCATGCAAACAACCTATTCTAAAGAAATTTATATAGTATTTATATAATAAATAAGTTAAAACAAATATTCAAATGTTAAATCTTCGAAATGTTCAAAAACAGCTTCTTCTTCTTGATTTAAATTATCTTCTGAGGCATGTTTATAATCATACATCCCATTGTTAAATTTTTGAAACATTCTTTTACTGGGCGTAAATGTATGGCAACAAATTTTAAACAAAGAAAAGTTAGATTTTACCCTTATCAATGCATCAAGCAGTGGAATACTCATTTGGTTTCTTGACTTTGTTTTTAATATATTCATTACAGAAAATATTCTTTCCACAACTGCATTACTTAAAGGTAAACTTAAAACCTTTATGACAAAAAGGGCTAATTCTTTAAAAATATATTCTCCTCCTGCATTGGTATAGTTTAAAACTTCAATCCAAAATGATTCTGTACAGACAGATTCATTAAAATCCCAATTAATAATGGGTAAAAGTTCCCACTGTTGAGAAATTTTATCAATATCTTTTTCAAGTAAATGTAATGGTAGTTCTTCAAATTTCGGCCAATTGTTTTTTCTCATTTTTAAACTGCTTATTGAAATCAACTTCATTAAATTAAAAACTCCAATGTTTTCAGGCATCCTCTTGGCCATTTCTTTGCATAATATAATTATAAAATGTCTACATCTAACTTTTATTGTACTTATGGAATCATTACTAAGTTGAGAAGAATTACAGGCTTTTCTAAAATTATAACCAAAATCTAAGTTTTCTACCTCAATAAAAGATAATTCGTTATCTAAAATTTTTAAAATTTTCTTAAAATTGTTTTCAGTTATTTCTTGAATGTTGTTTAAAAATGCTGGTTTAATGACTGATTTTACATTACTTAATAAGAGTTGATACAAATCACAATAAATTTGGCATATATCTGCATTAGATTTTTGAAACAGAAGATTTACAACATTAACATTTGAAATAACATTATAAATAAGTGTTATATATAAAAAATTAGCATCATCATTCAGCATTTCACTTATAATTCTAGCCATATGGTTTTTTCATTTACTTTAATAGTATTAAAATGACACCTTAGTTCAACCCATTGATCTATAATAACCTTTAAAACATTAGCCCTAGCTAGCCATCTAGTATCTGAAAGTTGTATAAAATTATGAAATTTACTACCTCCATTAATATTTATTAGGTTAAAGGTTTCTTTAAAAGCGGCTCTTCTCAAGGCACTATTGCTGAACCAGTTAAATATTTCTTTACATAAAAAATCAATTGCACTAGGCAAAACATTTGCTGATTTGCAACAGCACAAGTGGAGTGAATGAGCCACACATTTGACCAATTGAAGTTGTGGAACAGATTCCTTAAGAATGGTAAAAACTGAATGATGTTTACCACAAAGGTTATTTGCCCCATCTGTACCTAATCCTATTAATTTATTTAAATTTAAACCAATATTGTTTAAGTACTGTTTAATTTCTTCTGCTAAAATGTCAGATGTAGCCTTATCAATTGGGATAATTCCCAAAAAATAAGTATCAATCTTCTTTCTTGTCTGGCTGAAGTATCTAAAAATATTTAAATCATAAATTGAATTAAAAAAATACCTAATATTTACCTAACACAAAGGCACAGGTATTTTATGGTGGATACATCTGTGGACTCGTCTAAAATAAGGGAAAATGGGCTGTCTCCAATGTCTTCAATTAGGTCTTCTTTTAATGAACTAGCTATAACATTTTTTATAATCATCGTACATTTTGTTTTATGTAGGCGAATCCTTTCTGGTGCAGCCTTTTGCTTGTTTTTATTACAAGATTCAAATAATATTGACAAGTGATCTATGCTTTTTATACTGCTATGCACTGCAATATATGAGGACATTCTGATTTCAGCTTCTTTGACTTCATTTGATATGACAATAATGTTGTTTAGTTTACTTTGGCTAGATTCAGGATTGCAATTTTTAAATTTTATAATATGTTTGGAACCTTTTGAGTGTTTAATTAAATCAGTTCTGTGAGCTCTAAGGTTGGTTTTACAAAGTTTACAGTATGCTTTTTCTGGGTCGTCAGTGGATTGCTGCACCCAACCTAAAATTACCCGTTTTTAGGTACCTACCACAAAAACACGCTACCTACCTCTGAACTCTGTTTGAGATTCCCAATCTGCTTTGTACAACTTCTTATATTTGGCGTATTTACCCATTTTATATAAAGTAGAAATTATTTACATATTTACACTATATTTACACTAAACACAATCCACACACTAAAATAAACTAAATCCTATGGGTCATGAGTCATGACTATAACTCTCCAATTTGACATCTGACATCTCCAATTTGACATCTTTAACTTCAACTTCAAGATCAAGTTTTGCCAACATAAAAAACGAAAATAAATTTCGCCCAAATTTCATTTATTATTTTTTTTTTCGCCCAATTTAGGAAATTTCGCAATCGTGTTTTTTAAATCGCAAATTGTATTTGTTTGTAGCCCATTTTGCGAAATTTCGCCCAAGGTGGCAACCCTGATTATAATCATAGAGTTTTTGAGGAAAAATTAAAATTTAAAAAAATGGTGCCGTTTGGTGTATTTTTTTTAAATTGGCCCTTTAGCAGTAAGATGCCATTTGTTTTTTTAATTCATATATGTTAAAAAGTATTACCTGAGGTTAGAAACTGGATTTCAAAACTTTTAAAATAAAATGGTTAAATATTAAAAATTGTACATTTTTTGCTATTTTAGACATACTCCGTAAAGGATCCGAAAAATAAGTAGTTGGTTATTATCAGCTTGCAAATCCCTTTTTAATGATATTACATGACCCCACTTTCCATTAAAAATGTGACCTTTTAAATGTACTACCCCATTTTGAAAATGTTTACTTAAACAGTATTAATGTCTTGTTGAAATTGAATTTCTGTTTCGGTAATTTGTTACCCGCGACTTCGTTCGCGGGAAATTAGTACTCTACATTAGCTGTAGCATATATGATAAAGGTCAGTCAAAGGTCAAAGTTCAATGGTCAAAAGGTAAAAAGTAAGAAAAGTAGACCTAGCCGCCCTCTTTTGACAAAAAAAAACAAAACAACAAACAAAACAAATCAAAAAATAAAAGGCCCTATAGTGCCTATAGGTGTCAAACCATCACAGTATCCGATTTCGGTCTAGCAGTGTATGCGTAAAAGAAAAACAAAGTCGGACGAACTTTAGAATAAATGGACAGTGTTGGGTTTAGGGTTTAGGGTTTGGCAGGGGGGTTTAGGGTTTAGGGTTTGGGAGAGGGGTTTGGTGGGATTCATTATTCTCCAGGTTTATTAGTCACAAACTGATTAAAACATGCAAATTGAATTGATGATTTAGTTAGGGGTACTCGGCGACCTTTGGCAAATTTCGGTTTCATTTAAATATCTGGTGATATTTATAGTAATATTTTTGTCAAATATAAAAATACGATCATTCAAAATTCAATTTTACGATCATTCGAAATTCAATTTTATCAAAAACATTCTCGACGCTTGACATAATGCTGTGAAAAATATTGATATAAATAACTCCAATTGAAAAAAAATTATTGAAACTTGACAATCTTAAAAAACAGCACTGAAATCGAGCTCCATCCAGCTGAATCATTTGGGGGAAAGCGATCTAACAATCTGGCAACACTGTAAATGAATGTACATAAAAAAGTAGAAACCACGAATATATGAACGTGACTCATCCGACACATTATCTTGAGTGTAATGTTGATTGCTGTACTTATGATATATGGGGCAAAATTTGCCAAGTGTACCAGGTGAAAAAATTTTTGTCACCGATTTTGTTTAAACTTTACTTATTTGTTGTTCTTATAACGAAGAATCATACCATAAAATTTTTTTGCTCTTGGATTGTTCATTCAAAAGTTATGGATTATTGAAATTTATCGATTTTTTACTTTTTGGTGAAATCGCTTTTTATTTAAAAATTCATAACTTCTGTTCATCTCTTTATTAAATATTTCAATTTAACCACCTTAAATGATTTTTTCCGTACTTTTCAATGGGCATTACCGCTTTTGCAAAAAAATAAAAATTGCAATTTTTTTTTGAAATTTTGCAAAATTTTGCATTTTTTGAAACAATGTGTATTTTTTTATTTTTTTTTAAATAGCATAAAATCCAAGTTTATTATGTTACCTTTGAATAAAAAAAAAATTTAGAGTGGGCCCGACATGTAGAAAGGAAGTTTTTCATATTTGAATGCCGCACGGTCTAGCCATCGAATAGCTACTACACTGCCGTATGCGTTTATACCTAGTAGATGCGAGTAAACGAATAAAAAATGATAATTTTAAATGTAAAATTATGTTTGAGTAGTCAATGATGTATTTTAAATATTTACACTGCCGCACGATATAGTTTTTTAACTGTATTTTTTGCACAAATTGTTTAAGCATGGGTCTACATAGATTTCGCAAGGAGGATCGATGATATTAAATAAAAAATGTATTGTTATAACCGTAACGGCTTGCCTATAAGCTGAATGGCGCCTTTACGGTTATAACAATACATTTTTTATTTAATATCATCGACCCTCCTTGCGAAATCTATGTGTAGACCCATGGTTAAACAATTTGTGCAAAAAATACAGTTTATATACAAAAGTGCTCTTTTAGTTCCACCCTTACTTCTTAAGAAGTCCCATAAGCCAACTTAATGGCTTGTGCGGGTTAGGGGTAGGAACGGACCGCGGGCTTAAAGTCCCCTCCGAAGGACTAATACACAATAAAAAAACTATATCGTGCGGCAGTGTAAATATTTAAAATACATCATTGACTACTCAAACATAATTTTAAATTTTAAATTATCATTTTTTATTCGTTTACTCGCATCTACTAGGTATAAACGCATACGGCAGTGTAGTAGCTATTCGATGGCTAGACCGTGCGGCATTCAAATATGAAAAACTTCCCTTCTACATGTCGGGCCCACTCTAAATTTTTTTTTTATTCAAAGGTAACATAATAAACTTGGATTTTATGCTATTTTAAAAAAAATAAAAAAATACACATTGTTTCAAAAAATGCAAAATTTTGCAAAATTTAAAAAAAAATTGCAATTTTTATTTTTTTGCAAAAACGGTATAGCTCATTGAAAAGTACGGAAAAAATCATTTAAGGTGGTTAAATTGAAATATTTAATAAAGAGATGAACAGAAGTTATGAATTTTTAAATAAAAAGCGATTTCACCAAAAAGTAAAAAATCGATAAATTTCAATAATCCATAACTCTTGAATGAACAATCCTAGAGCAAAAAAATTTTATGCTATGATTCTTCGTTATAAGAACAACAAATAAGTAAAGTTTAAACAAAATCGGTGACAACAATTTTTTCACCTGGTACACTTGGCAAATTTTGCCCCATATTTGCTTTTAAAGTTAAATAATTAACATCTAACATAATTAACATCTACGATAATTAAATAAAATGTAATTTTCTTAGAAACTAATTAATAAATAAACTTTTCTTTTAACTTTAATGAAATATTCTATCATCTGATGACAGAACGTACACTCGTGGCGACATCTCTGATTTTAATAACAAATTTTTAGACCAATCCAACCTCACTTTCTTCCAATTAAAATCTTAGTATAGTCTGAAACACGTTTGGAATTGCATATTCCCCTCTCGTGAAACCGTCAAACTTGTTACAGAATATACTATTCTTTTAACTGTAAACGCAAATATTTCAGAATTGGTGACAAAAAACAAAAATGTTTACGCAGGTCAGGTACAAAGTGAAAGATATTTAAATTGTGTGGATATAAAAACAACTTGCGTTAGTTTCACGAAATTTATTAAATATTGACAATTGTTTCGCTACACAGTACCCTATTAAAAATGCCATATAGAACCCATATTGAATCCGATAAGGAAACGTATCTGGTTCTATATGGTTTTATAGGTCCTATATGGAAAGTCCTGGTTTACATTATGGATTCTATATGGTTGAATATGGATTTCCATTTTAAAAATTTTCATATTCATTTATATAGGGAAACCTATCTGGAAATACATATAGAACAGAAACCAGATAAATCCATATACAACCATATACATGTCTTTATAAAGACATGTATATGGATTTATCTAATTTCTGTTCTATATGTATTTCCAGATAGGTTTCCCTATCTGGTTCTATAGTGTTTTAGAGTGTTTTTATCTGGTTCTATAATGTAATCTTCTATCTGGTTCTATAGTGAAATGCCTGTTTCAAATACCTATATTGAACCAGATAGAAACCATATAGAATCCAGATACGTGTTTTTTATATGGTTTTATATGGCATTTTCAATAGGGTAGCTTCTTCAGAATGTATTAAACTAATACTAGTACAAAATTTATATAATAAAAATATTTTTGTATTCTAGACTAGAATTTCTAGGTAAGGATTTTTATACGACATCTACCTGTGTTACATAATATAAACCACTGCCACTACAACGTTTAAAACGATTATTAATTCGTAAACACACAGTAGAAACACGATATGCAAAAACAAAGATCATATGACATATAAAAACAAATGGCCGACGGTAAAGTTGGTTGCCTTACTATGTAATAAAATAAAATAAATGCCTAAAACACGAACTCTACTGAATATAAGTAACAAGCTAGGACACGCGTCATATGTCCATCTTTGTCCAACACCTAGGCAGTTTTACATCACAGATGGCGCATTTTAGACCGGATGCTTAAAAACCTACGTGTGAGTACATTTACCGCTGCATCGAATGTACAAGACAAGTAAAACATTACTGCTAGCATGTCTGAGATATGTTCGGCACCCGATGAGTCACGTTCATATATTAGTGGTTTCTACTTGTATTTTGTATGAATTAGAATAAATCTTTGTATTTATTGCTACGCTGTGCTATGCTATTCACCAATATTTTTTCACACTTTTCCTGTGTTAAAACAGTACTTTAAATTCAGTGTAGAAGTAAATTTTATTTTTAGCAATAATTCCGTACAAAAACCCGGCGAACATTTCCTTTTTTAATTAATTTTAAGTGCTGTGTTAATAAAATTCTGGATACTTATAGTTATTTAATTAATTCAGAACATTCACGTCTTGTGCCTAGAAGATTTCAATCTAGTTAAAATTTAAGTATAACTTATAAAAGAGCGGAGGTTGTTGTTCTATCGATCTACCCACGTT